TAACCTAAATCACATATTGTATTGATGAAGAAGTTACTTTCAAACTCAGAAAATAATGAACACCTGAAATACTTTATGTCCAGGGAACTACAAAACCACAAACTAATTTTCCCCTTTGCAATTGACATCATTATGCAAATTCTCCATACCATTCTCAAAACATTTTCCAAGGTTCTGACAAGGAGAATTTGTTGAACAGTCAAGAGTCTCTTTAGTTGGTGATCACTTCCTTTATTCTCATGACCTTAATGTTTGATTCAGAGGTGATATTGTAAGGAGAAACTGGATGGTAGTCACTCTTACAGGACTAATTGGTGTATTTTCCTTGACACAATCATGTTCTAGAAATACTTGTGCTGATCATGGTTTTCTGAGTTTCTGCAAAAAGGATCCAAGCAGAATAACTGTAAAGAGAATTATTTTAATGGTAATCAATTGTTTAACAGATACAGAGCTGTCCTCACATCTGTGGTGCTTCCTGTCCTGAGGGATTTTGTTTCGTTGCTTCATCTCAAGTGATCATGTTTGATGCAAGTTGCAATGATATTCTTGCAACATTCAATTTTGGTAAGAAACTTTGTTCTTTTAACACATTGATTTGAATTGGATTGGTTTGTTTATTTCAGTTTTATGCATTGTTTGATGAATGTTTATTTATTGGTTAGTACAGAAGAATTTTTCAAACCCTTGCAGGGGTTTCAATAACTACAGTATTTCCATAAATGGCTGTCAATAGTATAACAGGTAGCTGTACCCAGAAAGGGGCCTAAATCCTTTAGCCCCTAAGAGTGACCAGCATCTAATTTCTCCTTACTATATGACCCCTGAATCAAACATGAAAGTCATGAGAATAGAGGAGATGATCACCAACTGAAGAAGCTCTTGATTGTTGAACAAATTCTCCTTGTTGGCCTCTTTGGAAATGTATAAAGAACAGTATAGAGAATATGTAGGATAACATTGAGGTGTAAGGGGCTAAGACCTTGACCCAAACAGGACAGCCTGCTTGCAAACTAAACTGAGAGTAGCTAGAGGTCTTACATGCAGCCTAGAGAGCTAATAACTGGCTTTTGATAAAACTGCTGCCTTTGTCTCATCTTTTGATTGCCTTTTTTTGTTTTAAAGAATGTGAGATTGATTGCATAGCATGGAGTGAAGATTCCTTGTTTCTTGCCATTGGTGAAAGGTATATTTACTTGATTCAAAGGACATACAGTTAGTTTCTGCCATATGCCAATTAAGGTGTGCTGCATAAATGAATTTCCCTTTACCAAGGTTTATGATTGGGGATTGGGAAGCAAAACCCAATGGTTTGAATCTTGTGTGGTAAAGATTCATTTGAGTAAATGCTTATAAATGCCATTGTTACATGTACCTGTTGATGTCATTATCTCTATTTAGATCAGCTGCAAGCATGCAGCTGATTCTCAGTGACAGCAGTTTTGCATTGTCAGTGACTGTAGCATCATTCCAACAGGCATTAGTCTTTACACCCATGGAAGGTCACACTTCTTACATCTCATGTTGATGTTCTTCCCTGCTTAAGGAATAAGTGGAAAGTGTTTTAGTGCTAACTTTTCAATCTTAATTAGGTCAGGGACTTTCCACTTTGTTCATTCAGCATCAAGGCAAGTACTGTTTTCTCAGGTAGGATAAAAACTGTTTTTTAGGTATTTGAATCCACTGTTGCAAGAGCAGTACTGAAATATAAAAATAAAATCCTTGTTGCTATGATTTCTTCTCATGACAACAAACAGTGATTTTGGTTATCATTTCATCAGCTTCCTGTGATCATTAGGTTTGGAAGAGGTTCAAAACTTTAAGGCTCAAACTCTATGCTTGAAAAAGCTCTGCAAATCTGATCATGTTATTTAATTATTTTGCATACTTCAGATAAAACTCGGGTAATAATCATAGGTTGCCATATAAACAAGGTTCAGAAATAAGAGGACAACCTCAGCCTCTTTGGAACTGTAGGGGTATGAAAACTGTGTAATGATCAAATAACAATGATAAAGTACTTGCTTTAATATAGGCACAGGTATGGGATCAGGCTGCAAGCACATTTTGTAACTTTTGAATTAGATGGATTTTTAAGATTTGATCTTTTTTGCCTTGCTTGCATCTCAGTTAACAACTGAAGTTTCCTAGAGGTGCTCCTTGATTTAGATTTATCAGTTTTAATTAACTTTCAAAGGACATTAAAATACAAAGTGAAATTTTGCTTTTGTTCTTTAGAAGAAATTTTTGTCATTAGTTACATGTTGTACAGCAGGAATTTGATGCTTCACTATCCTGTTTATAATTTTTTTCTCAGGAGCTTGAATCTGATGGGAATTTAAAATGCAGTGAAGAATGTACCTTTCTTTCTATGTTGTTTACAACTCCTAAATGTGAAGGTATGATTGTAACTTAATGATAAAAGTACTGATAGTAATAATAATTATGATAGTGATGATTATGAGAAGTTAACAGCGAACATTCCATGAGAGAAGTGATGCCAGAGTCACATAATAGTTCCTTTTACATTAAGCAGGAAATTGGTTTGGTAACCTAAGCAGATTAGCATTCCCACGTAGGGACATGGAGTTCGGCAATAGTGAGTCTTAGTATTCCAATGAAATGGAAACAAGCTCTTCTTTTGTAAGCCACTTGCCTGGACTTCAGGCTTGAGCTCAACATGAATTTGTTTCAAAATCCTTTAGCAAAAAGGTTTCATATTTGACAAATAGATTCCATGATACTGTGTGTCTGTTCAATATTAGATCATAGATGACGTCAAAATGTAAATTAGCTTATTATGTATTCTATAATGTTATGTATCCTTGAATGATGTTGAGTTGTAAGCCTTAAAGAGTGTTTTAGAAGTAATCTGACTTGTAAATTTTGTCTGTTTTCTCAAGCAAGCCATAACAACCAAAGCAGATATTAAAATTTGGAAAAAGCTTGGCTCATGTAAGGCTTATCATTAAATTCACCTTTTTTTCTTTCTGTTGTGAACAGGAGGATGTAAGCTTGTCATTTTGTCTGCTTCTGGCATGATCACTCAGTTCTCTAACCTTTATCTGCAGAAATTGAATGACGGTATGTGTCCATAAACATCCCCTGTGGGCATTAATTTTGATTTCTAGTTTCATGTCTTCTGAAGTTTTATCAAAAGCAGTAAATAATATATGTAATTTGGAAATCAATTTGGTAATCAGATGGACAGTGTGAATTCACCATAACACATGCCAAGTTATTGATTACTGTTTAAAATAAAGAGGTTGCTGCATTTTAAAATATTTTGTTATCTTCTCTGTAAAAGGGAATTAATAAAAATCTCTGTTCAGTCACTAACACATGTGATCTTGATCAATAGCTATTAATGGAGGGCAGTTTGAAGTTGTTACTGAAGTAAGTGAGTTTGGTTTGGTGTTATACAATTGTACATTATACTCCTTCCACTTTTACTTAGTATACATGAGTGTTTTGCCAGCTTTGCAGAGGGAGGGGGGGCTTATTAGAGAGGAGGCACTTTATGGAGGTAGGGCTCCAGATTGAATCTTTTTGGTATCTTAGTCCTGATTAGTCAGTGACAAAAGCATTCATAGGTTGTGGAGTGCAATTCAGCCTTTCTGTATTCTACTTCATGGAATATGAAGCTTTTTAATGATGAGTGATTAATGCTACTATAAATTCCAAAATATTCCATTTGAGTTGTTTCATTGATTTAACTTAATTTAACTTTGTCTGTCAGTCACAGTTATTCTGGATATAAAATGGCCATTGTAGTGTAAAGAAAGCACAAACATTTTCCATCCTGTTAAAAAGTGTTTTGAGAAATGAGCAACTGGGACATACATGGAAGAGTGAGAGAGTGGTTTTGTAGCAAATAATATAAATAAATACCATGAAGTGTTTGTGTATATTGTGATTTACTGTCACTCATCATGTTTTGAAAGGTTTTAACATTTCACTTGCCCATGGCTCTTTCAATTGCAAAAACTTTCAAAACATTACATGTGCCAGAGAATCATGAAATGCAGTCATGTTTCAGTATTCTCCTCTACACATTCCTTGTTTTATAGTACTTATAGTCCAGCGGTTATTCATCATTTGCAACTGGCTAAACTGTTCAAATGCAACCTCCAACTTTATATCAACTCAAGTCTAACCTTACCCCTTTAATGCCCACCCCTCCCTCCCCCTCCC